ACAGTCTATTATCACATACTTATGCTCTAAAGTATACAATAGTACAAAGTCTAGAGTAGTAACCTAGATTTTGCTAATAACTACCCATTCCTAGACCCTACCTAGCTACCCTACCTATACCTATACCTAGTCACGTGCTACCCTACCTATACCTCTACCCAGTCACGTGCTACCCTACCCAAACCGTTTGGGTAGGGTACCTCATGTACCCTACCTAGTTCCTACCCATAAATCACGTGACTATACCTATACCCTACCCTACCCTACCCATCCGCCAGCCTACCTATTGATAGGTATACTTTGCTAGGTAGTGTTAATAACTTAGCTAATACTAGGCAGAATTAGCTAATTCTTTTTTTATTAGAAGGCGCAATACTAGGCACTTCTATCAAATAATAGATTATGTAAGCGTATCTCTGCTAGTTAAGAAGCTATAAGCCAAAACGTAAAAAAGCATACCCTACCCATCCGCCAGCCTAGCATGGCAGCACACTTAAGTATAGCCTAGCAGCATCACAGGTAGCTGCTAAGGTGTCTGTAGTAGCTTAGCTGTTAAAGAAGACTTGTAGTATAGATACTTAAGAAAGGACCTATTTAGCCTAACAGCGCTGTAGAAACTGTAGAGGCACTAGGCACAACGCTTAAACGTGTTAGAAAGATACAAGAGAAGATTCTAAATCTAATACAAGTACACAGTACGCTAGATTACTGTTTAATAGTAAGTAATTTAAGTTGCTGCAGTATAAGTTAGGCGCGCTAAGAGTTTTTGACTGGTTTAGTGATATGACTAGCTTGGTGATAGAGTATGTTAGGTGTAGAGAATATATCCTGGTGTTCTTATCATCCCAGCACTCCCATATGCCTCGCAGCGGATTCACACCTATTCCGGATATCTCTCTTCTTGCCTGCGTCGTTACAGTTGCAGAGCTTTAGGCTGCTAATGAGGCTGCTACACGCTGTAAATCGCACAAAAGAAAACAGATCTAGAGGGAGGGACTCTTACAGTGAGCGAAGGAGTACGCTTAACTACTCTAAAGGAGTTTAAAGCCCGTAGCGATGGGAAGAAGGCAAGCAAGAAGAGGCGCGTTGAACCAGGCACTCAGTCTTTACAACGCTGTGGCAGATGTAGTAAGGCAGGGCACAACGCGCGAACGTGCATAAGAGATGCGCAAGATACTGTAGATTAGTGCTGTATACTGTAACTTGCAAGAGAAGTTGAACTTTGGTGTGGTCTTGGCAAAATCTGGTCACTCGCCCGGGCCGGCCACTCGCCCGTGAGGTACGTTAAGATTTGTATGTAATAAATCACTTTATTAAGCTTCCCCCACTTCAATTTCCGGTGGCGACACCCCTAACGTGCACTGGCCAATGTACACTACTTTTACCGGATACCATAGTAGGCTAAGCCCTGCCGCTGTCGCCACTAGGTATCGCGCCGAAGAAGGGCCGCAGCGTTTCAGCCCCGCCATTTGAATTCCTCGTGAACAAAGTTTTCCGATAACATTCCGGACACTACCGCAGAGTTGATGCGGCTGCAAGTCAATTTGTAGAATCCTGAAAGACCTATCGCGAGCAGTCGTGACCATCTGAAAAAATGCACTAACGACAATTCGCGCAGAACGCATAACCTAGGAACTTTGATGGTCGTTGATCTTCCTCTACAAAGTTTCGGCTCCCAAGGTGATGATCAACAAAACAAAATACCCGGACATAGCAGTGCCTACATAGTGACACCTGGAATTGCAAAAATGGTATTAAGGTAGGAGAGCCGATGTAAATGTCACCGGGTAGATACCAACGAAGAAAGGTGTTTAGAGCTACAACAGGTCGCCGCGCAACTGACTGCTGTAGCCAAGAACTTGGATACACACCCGAAACGAGCCATGTTTCCAATTGCGAAACGAAAATGTAACAGAATTGCACCCAACCAACTTCTGTTACACTCAATTTCTTCCAGATTCAAGATGGAGGGTAGAAATCGATTGGCCTCGCTGCCCGACCCGATTTCTGGCCTCCTGGACGACCCAGGCATCATTGCACCATAGATACTGTTACGCTTCGATAGCTAGTCATAATGTTCATTGATACCGCAGCTGCGAACAGCCGATCGCGACAGCCACAAGCCGTATTCTTAACAGGGTATGCAACTCAAGACCGAGAACCTCAAACACCATTACTAGACGAATCCCTCGACTCTCGCGATGCACCACCGACGTACCTCGAGGCTACGACACCAGGCCTCTACCATGGGAGACCGAGTGGTGAAGAGGGTGCAAACTTGCTGAATGGTGAGGAACAGGAGTACAAGCAAAATGAATACAGAAGGAGAAGCTTCAGACAAACACTGCGCACGAAGTGGACCAAATGGCTTGGTATCTGCATGCTGGTCGTCTTTGTGTTGGCGGCTGGTGTAGCATTCACAATATCGCCGCGCAAGGATAGACAGGTGTGTCTTCCACTTCCAGCAAACGTGTCCTGCTGACGGAACAGGCTTCTGTCGTACCCGTGACTCAGGCTTCAGCTCATGCTGTGGCGACTGGAGCATCTATGACGCCAACGTCAACACAGCCCGCATGGCCGAACGAGTCTGAAGGTGTGATTGCACCTGACTTCACGGCGATCCCATGGCCTTCGCAGAGCGCAGCAGCCACCACGCCAAGCTCATCGCCTCAGTTGGAGCAGATATTCCCAATTCGATGGCCGGCAAGGTGCGGGAAGAAGTATAATCTCAAGACGGAGAAGTACGATTTCGGCTCTTCGAAAGAGGTCAAGATCAAGGAAACCATGCATCAGCTTGACGGGCCGTACAAGCGTATACAGGGCTGGGTGCACATCACAAAAGCGCCCGCGGGTCAAGCCGACGGCACCATTCACGCGAGGATGTCTTACGCCGTGTCGCCTGCGATTGACGTAGACAGTATCAAGTACACCTCGACATCGAATAGTCTGATTGTCGGGGGGTCATCAAAGACCCCTAGCACCGAGAGCATACCAGCTGGCTCCGCCTGTCTAGGTATGTCGATAGTGCTATACATGGCGCCAGGAACCACCCTTGACAATCTCAATATTGAAGCCACACATCTGGGTATGCAGATTCATGGCGGTGTCAACTTCTCAGTCACAGACACGACGACCATCTCGTTAACATCCGGGACTCTCGACGCGTCGATGCTGAACTCGCGACAGACTTACCTCAAAACGACCTCGGGCTCCATCAGCGGAAAGTACGCACTTTCAGATCTTCTGGCTATCGATACAAAGACTGGATCAGTCAACATCGATATTGCGCCAAAGGGTGTTGCGGCAGGGGTATCCACACCTGCTGTGTTCAAAGCGAGCTCGCAATCAGGCAGCTTGCGGGTAGACTTCGAGAGCAAATATATTCCCGAGCGTGACTACCAAACGTTCATCAACACGATCGTGGGATCAGTCGATGGGACATTCATCCATGGCTCGCGGACTGAACTCAGCACAGTAGCTGGCTCCATGACTGCAGACATTCTGCCGTACAGGTCTGGCGCTTTCACTTCAACGCTGGACACCAGCACACATTCTGGGCGAATGAACGTGACTCTTCGCGCGCCTTACAGGGCCAAAGGTATGCCTTTGACGGGCTTGGTGAGTACACACAAGAGCGTGTCTGGCGGTGTGGGATTGAAGTACCCGAAAGAGTGGCAGGGCCATGTCGAAGGTACGAGTTTGAGCGGAGAGCTGCATCTGCAAGGCAAAGAGCTAGAGCTGTTGCGCAAGAACGATGAGCCGGGCAAGAATCATGTTGAGGCGAAGAAGGGAACGGGAGGGAGTAAGATGGTGTTTGACACAGTGAGCGGAGGCTGCGACATCAAAATCGGGAAGATCTAGTCATAGAAACGTCAGCTCTGTAGAACCCCCTAGTGCGAAATCGAATGCACCATGCACAGGTCCTTCCATACGAGGCAATCTGTCGCGAGACTCGATGGGCGGGTCACGCCTTTGCTGAGAGCCTCCACAACAGGTCTACGATGTGGTGACTGGGGAACTAGCGTTCACGCGCAAGCATGAACGGTTCACTGCATGTCGGAGAGTATCAAACCATCGACTCCACCGCTCGAACGGCATTAGCCGGTGGGCGTGAGGCACATAATCCAATCTGCTCGATCGTTCACCGGCACTTGGCCATGTCATGACGGTCTGGCGAGCGCCGGCGGCTGCTGGACTGCGACGTTGGGCTTGGCATAGCTTGCTCTGTACCCCACGCAATAAGCCTGCCACAATGGTTGCCGCACGTTACATACAGTGCCAGCTACCAGTGATGGTCGTGCAAAAGTTTACTTGGCTGTTGCTTATGTCCGCGCGTCCCGCTCCGCCAGCGATGGCCTGTCATATCTAGAGTCCCGGATCATGGATTGCTGGCGTTACGATCGACGTCAAATCAGGATGGCCCTAATGTTCAAGTTACCAAGCATGGTGTAGGGCTGACTTGGGTCATCGTTGATCGTGGAGAACTTGCTGTCACAGGAACACGCAGTCTACTATAGTAAGGTCTTGCAAAGATATTTCTCCGTGTAATAGATGGGTCAAGCATTTTGTGATAGTTAGATCGATTTACGAACTCAAATCAGCACATGGGAGTTATGCACGTGCATAGTCGCAATCGATCGTGAGGGCGTCGTGAACCTCGGATTGTCGTCCTCAGAGGCAGTAGGGACATTTCGTGCGACATTAGCTAGGTTTTGCTGTTCAGAGATGACCATCCGTCTGTGAGCCATCTTGTGCGTGCAACGGTGTGCATACCGGCTTTCGTCGGGTCTCTGGCCGTGAGCAACAGATTTGTCTCGGTCATATGTGTTTTCGGTCTTTTTTGTACAGCCGCGCAAGAGGATCAGATTCCACGGCGTGCTCCGACAGCGTCTGCGCGTTGTCGACGTCCCTTGCGTCAGTTCAATGAATCTGTCAACTGAACTGCTCATTCTTAGATACTCAAGCCACGCAATCGACCTAGCTTTGACGTCAATTCATGTCTGTGCATGTTGCGAGCGTCGGCTCGAAATCTCATGTGAGTAGTCACTTTGCGGTTGCTTCGTACCTTGCGTGTTTGCTGGGTCTCATTCAAGATCTGCAGTCGGCATAAGATTGGATCGCCCTTCGTCAGCTGGCATACCTTGTTGACGATCCTGATCTGACCGGATGCTGGGGGCTATAAGCTGAAGCCTTAATACATGACTCTAGTATCTATTCGCAACCAGCCAAGCGCGGGGTGTACCTGGAGTAGGCGAGCGAAATACCGATAATGGAATCGCACTATGCCCCTTCGGAAGTCTCATGCAGATACCGTGGATTGGAAGGACGTTCTTGTACGACAGAACACGTGGTTTTGAAGTGGCAGAAAAAGCTAAGCGGTGGCAGGCGCTGTTATGGTGTAGGATGAAATGGCCGAACTGTCTAATCAAGCTCTGCCTGCATGGTAAAGCAAGGGAGAGAAACTTAAGTCCGCCAGTCCGCTCACTAAGACGTAGCTAGCATGGCATCACGGCCACCAACACGAGAAGACATAGCGAGTGACGACGATCTCGCTCAAACGTATCGTCAATAGAACGATAGCTGCGGCTGGTCTGAGTCGGCCAGTGCATCTGGAGAGGAGACCGAGCTCGGCAATCGATTGACGCAAGAACAGCGCATCATCGCTGCTCGAGTTCCCATAGTGATCTCTGCTTACTGGTTGGTGAAAACTGACCGGAGATACAATTTGCTGTCCCAATGGTCGCACAAGACCAGGTGCTGAGCACCAGGGACCAAGGTAAGCAGGCAAGACATTCCGTGCTGCGGCATCCTTGACCGGCGTTGACGACAATCTGAGGTTGCAGGTCTTGTAGACGACCAGGCTGACTTAGATGATAAACCCAAACAGATGGTGTGGCGCAGCATTCCACAGCTGTCAACTGTCAATTGGACTCGGCGCCGCGTAGAATTTCGCAGATGATGACGACATGTGCGTCTCTTCCCGTATAGCCTTTAACGCTTCCATGTGGGCAACGATCTCAATAATCGGTCACGCGGGCCAGTAAAGAGAGCGTGACAGAAACATCGGTCTGCGTTCCGCTGTGCGACAGGACCGAGCGCGATCCGGAACGAATCAACTCACTCCATTTCAGAAATGCTGGAGATGGTGCGGGAACTGTTGCGAGGGTTGTTATCAATTAACCCCTGATCGTTTGAAGAGAGTTTCGGGCTTGTCGCGTCGGTCGAGGAAGGCGCGTTGTTTGGCCGAGCGCGTTAAGCGGATGCTTACGTAACGCTAGTCCTATTTCAAATCGTGCCCCTTCCACCACTCCCGTCACTCAACTCCGTGTCGCACACCCATATCAGCTAGCATATTACTGCATCTGGCACCATTCGCGATTTGTACGGTCCACGGTTGCAGAGGTGTGGTAGTAGTCGATACTCGAAATTGCGTATAGCACCGACCGCACCTTTACCATTTCATCCTTCCTAAACGATGCTCAATCTCCCAAACGGGCGCTGAAACTCAGCTTCGGCCAAAGAGGAAGATGTCGTCCCCATAACCTTGCTGCCGCTGACCAGCGATTTCCCTGTTCGCGGCATGCTAACTGATCTTGATGCGCGTCAACCATGGCTGTGCTGATGGTTCCGCCGCAGGGATCGTCTTTTGCTCTTTAACAAGGTCTTCGTCCGTGTGAAGCCGACAGGACGAGGATCGTGCGAGCTCGTACGGCTATCCTAGACGTCTCTAATCGCCTTACATGATCCCAGCAGCCCTGCGCCCGGTCCACCCTCCACTACAAGCCCCCACCCAGAGGCTCCTTTGGGTGAACGCTTCTACTGTCGCTGTTCCAGATCCTCTGCAGCCAAGGCGCCTCGCGACACTGCTTTCAAACCGAGTCCGAGTGGTTCTGTTGCATCAAGTTCGTAAAGGTCATTTCACCTTGTTGTCGCTCTCGGAACCCACGATCCCGTGTTTTCAACATATACTACAACTGGCCCTCAACGTCTCCCGTTCTACTCGGCTCCGTCATTCTTTAGCAATCCCGGCCCATCTAAATTCACATTCATTCTTTTCTGGAAAGGACTCCTATCCGCGCTGGCTGCATTTGGAACTTCTTGTTGTCCATTCACTCTTTTGTCTAGCCTAACAGTCTTTTAGTCGCGTCACTACAACCACTTAGCCGTGGTCGTACAGCGCTATCTTCGAGACACATTCTTTTTGACCGCCAGTAGCTTCTTTTGTCACAGTTGTGAGTCTCAGCACGCCTCCTCTCCCTTGCTTGCCTAGCCGGGTGCCCCGTGACGCGGCGCTCCTAACTCTGCAAGCTGTCGATCGAATATCTGCACGGATACGCAGTTGGCTGAATCGATCGTTGACATTTGCTCTAGATATCTTCGCCGAGACCAGCGTATATAGAGGACGTGGCTAAAGATGGCATTCAATGCACTTCAACAGTAAGGCTCCCATGATCGGTCCGGATCGAGGTCTAGATTCTACGAGTATACTTACTGCGGATATAGATACCGGCCACCATCGAGTGAATCGCATACCATGGATCAGGCTTTGCCTACTTCAGCAGCACAGATGTATGCTTATAACCACTATCCTTTCCAGAGGCAACAACCTCCATCTGGATTTCAGCAAATGACAAGACCTTCGCCGCCTCAACCCACGTGGGCCGTACCACAGACCCACAACTCATATTATGCTGGGCCTCGAGGCCCAATGCTATCGACCCGAGATGAGCATGCGCATTTTCTATCCAGGTCAGACATCAACACGTCTGAAGCACCAGCATTCAGTACCGCGGCCTTGAACAATGGTATGACCTCCAACCCGACGACAACAACGTCTGGAGAGTACTTTCCAAATGTCATTGATACTAGTATGTCCGGTTTAAACTTGCCATCGTTCTATACTGACTCACACAGGTCCCTGGGGCGCGAAGGTGTGCGATGAACTCGAGTCGTTCCCTCCATTCGATGCAGATGCTGCAGACTTTAGCCACGGGCTGATGGGTCAGGACGAAAACACACCTATCATCGATCTACGTCAATTTCAAGGCATGGGCCAGCACGACGCTGATAACTCGGCACATTTCAATCCTCGGGGGCCTCGCCGCATGTCCGAGTCGTCTTTCTCGATGTCCAGCACAGGCGGGGGAATATTTCCAGATGTGTCTTCCTATGAAGAGATGGGTTCTTCTGAGGCAGTCTCATACGTGTCTGAGTGCGATACATGGAATCCAGTCGAACCTGCCGGTGGTCATCTGTTGTCACCGCTTGCTTCACCAAGGAAGTCGCCGTATGAATCTGTTTCGCGTACTGGAGGCCGCGCTCGCATGTCTCCCGCGCCGCACAACAACGTCAGATCATCGCCCTACACACTCGAAAGCACCCGGTCTAAACGTTGGTCAACCGGACAGACACCCACGTCGATGCCAAACAACCCATCCGCAGTCCCTCAGATTCCGGACCACTTTAGTCCATATGGGCCGCGCCGCAATCCGCATCACTCGATGCCAGCTTATTCATCTAGCGCAATGGCTAATTACGGTATGCCCGCGCAAAATGTGTTGTTTTCACAGGGCCATCAGCTGCACTCCAACGGTCCGCCTCTGTTTGCAACCCGAGATCAACCCTACCACCTCGAGGTCCCTCGACCGCTTCCTTCTCAAGGACTCTTCCGTCTGCTTCAGAGTAATGTCGACAGGCATGGTGGCTGTTCGTCGCATTTCGCAGATCTTTCGGACCCGCCGGATCTGTACTCCTCTCTGCATGAAGAGCCGTCCAACCCACCTGAATCAGACATGAACCCATCAGACCCAGATCTCGTGCCTCACGAGCAGGACCTTCGTTTCAACGGCGATCTGTACACACCGCGATGGGTGCGCGGGCATGGCAACAAGCGAGAGGGGTGGTGTGGCCTCTGTAAGCCTGGACGTTGGCTTGTTCTGAAGAACAGCGCGTTCTGGTACGATAAGTCCTTCACACATGGTGTCAGCGCGGCAACTGGAGCAGCATTCCAAGGACCCCAAGATACCCGCCGCACTGAGGGAAATCTCGATGTGTGGGAAGGCCTCTGCGGGAGCTGCGGCGAGTGGATAGCGTTGGTCAGCAGTAAAAAGAAAGGGACAACATGGTTCAGGCATGCTTACAAGGTCAGTTTTTGCCCTGCATTCCTTGTGACCCATGCCTATCGATTCGTGCACGCGCATGATTCGTTTACTTGTATGCAAAGTCACACAAGCTCGCTTGCTAACGGTACCACCAGTGTCACACCCACCCAAAAGTTAAAGACGGGCCCAAGCGGCGTCGTGAAACACATGCAGGGCGTGCTCGCACTGTCTCTTCGGCATCTTCGTCGTCGCATCTGGTCAAGCAAGAGTTGGCGCCTGTCAACGCAACTTCTCACCGTTACTCGACGCCTACGCCGGTACCGGGCAGCTCCGCGCTTCGCACTTTCGGCATGCCGGTCTCGACTCCGACATCAACACCCTCGCTGAGCACAACCTCATATGGCAGCGGTACATCGTACCAAACCCCATCGGCAGGAACGCCCTCTTTATACCCGCCGCAGACGCCCACTACAGCCTCACCATTACATGCTCTACACACGCCAACAGCGGCAGACTTCCCTGAGCTCCGCTACGATTCGGCAAATACAAAGGAGCAAAGTGTTATGGGGTTGTTTCCCAATCCTCTGCAACACTTCTCCAACTTCTCTACATCGTATCTAGCACCACCGCCGATAAGCCTTGCACATCAAGTCAGTGAACCTGAGCTTGTGGGCATCAGAGCAACAGCAGCAAGCTTGGACTCGATAGCAAGCATGATCTGACAACATCGTAGCATCGTATGCTGTACCCGAGATGCTCGAAGTTGACCGATCATGTTGCAGTCTCTCGTCCCTGGTCACACTAAGCAAGTTCTGCCTTGGTCCCCGACCACCATCATATGTTTTGTCTTGGCGGTACCGTTGCATTTTCTTTTCTTTTCACATTTTGGTTGGCGTAAAGGGTCAAGCGTACCCACTGCCTGGCATTCAAGTCCCGGCGTCTTTCATCTACCTGCAGTGCATATAATGTAGCGTTCCAGCGTTCTGCAACTACCCCTCTTCATCCTCGTTAGACATTCCGCGTCCAGCTTGGACTTACGATTGATGACACACAACAACTGGGCACCATCGGTTCACGTAGATAGATTCGTTTTCAATAGATATCCCCACACACACAACGGACACTTGATACAACTTGATGCTATACAAACGTGCAACACGTTTAGGCCCTTCAGCTGATCGGTATACATATTTGTTCCGATTTCGGTTTACTCGTTCCAACTTCGGTTTATTCGTTTCAACTTGAATTCCTTCACATCAAAAGTCCTGTATTAGAGACCTACTTTGACACTCGCCTCAGCCTCGAACTCAGCCTCGAGCAGACCCACTGCAGAATCCACCACGACGTCTGACACCTGACACGAACCAGGCGGTCTGAAACGCCACATGTGGCACGCTCGTGTCTGCATCTGGCGGTCGGTATGAACGGCAGTTCGCCAACGGACAAGTTGGGAAGGTCGTGTCAAGAAATGGTTGACACTCGTGAGCTTGTGGATGCGTGGCATGGCACGGCTTACTCCATCGAGGGCTCAGACACAGCGATCGTAATTCAGCAACTAGCCCCAGTGAGTATGTCCCCGTATGTGGGGATTCCAGTATCAGTTTTAGCAGAGCTGGCAGCAAGCAAGCGATGGGCTGATTGATCGCCAGACCAGGTCTTGCATGAGCCCCAGGGTCGAGTCTTCATAAATGATCGAGTAATCAATTACCGGATCGATTAATCGATGCTAAATCTGTAAATCCGGCTCAGGGGTATGCAGATATTCGACTCTTCGCTTCTCGTGTACTATTGACACGTACACGACAGTTGATTTTAAGGGCCGTCTACAGAAACACTCGTCGTTACACGCCTACACACCCTGTGAGATCTAAGATATTACTCTACCAACACATGATACTCCAAAAGTGCTGATGATCGACGAAAACACAATGGCAGAACCAGGATGTCTTATGTAAATAGCAACATACCCATGTATGCAGTATTTATATACAGATACCTGTGTGCGGTCCGGCTCACCGACCCAGCTCGTCACTCTCTCAAGACCGAGTTCCGTGGCCAAGTCGCGGCCGGTATGTTCCAAATGAGAAACGACTCAATGGTTACTTGTGTCCACCGTAGCCTCGGTTGCCGGGTATCTCGTGGGGGCAACCCAGTACCGCTGTGACTGGTACACGGCGGTTGGCGAGTGCATTGGTGACAAATGCATGCTCGGCACGCCACATGAGGTAGATGGGGCTCAAGTTTACCGACAGGAAGATCGTGGCCAAGAGCTATCGCTCGGCGTGCGTGGCTGGTCCATGGGCTATTGAGAGCTGCCACTCGGAATGAAGGGTCGGAAGTCGTTGCTGCGGAGGTGATGAAGGTAAGCAGATCAATCAATTGTCTAGTCTCTCGATGCTCAATTGCGCAGTCGATGCCATATTTCACACTGGCACGAAACTGCTACACAGGTAGCGCACCAGCTGTCGATGGAAAGGGAACATTGTTGGTACAGTAGAATCAATTTGAGGGGTTGTCGCATCTCTCAAGCCCTATCCCTCCATGTGAATTGTCACCAAGTTCAGGAGTGAGACACACGTGCTACCTTGCACGTAAGTAGATTGGTGACATACCCAGTGAGCTTGCGAATACCGTTTGACGTACAGGCGTAGCCTCGTCTGTTCACAGCAGCCCAGGATACCCTCAGAGCGGCGTGAATGTTCTGGAGTGGGACTATTGCGCCGTCTGGGCAGTAGCAGAACTGTTGAGTGATGCAAACAACCATGATATGACAAGAACTTTGAGGAGGCTAGAGAGAACACCTTGACGGCCACAATGGGGCTTTTCCGGACCAGAGAGGTCGTGCTTGAGTCAGGACTTGGAGGAAGACTTGGAGGAAGACTTGGAGGAAGACTTGGAGGAAGATTTGGAGGAAGACTTGGAGTAGGCTCTAATGCCCGACCTTTCGCACAGTCTTCAGTTCCATAGCCACACGTGGCGCCGGCCAGGTTTGTCTGTGAGAGTCAACATCCCGTGCCATGCGGCACTAAACCAACAATCATGAGGTGTCTGCTTCAGCCCCCCGCACAGTTAGGTATTGTCTCAACCCGGAGGCGTGCGGGATGAAAGAATCTTTCAAAGCTACGAACAGGGTCGAGAATGTGCGACATGTCAACTTGACAACCATATGTTAAGATTGCCCCACTTCGCAGGCTTACATCAAAGAGCAGTTCATCGTGGTGCCAGAAAACGGCTCTCAGATTTGCCCTTCGCCCTTAAGATCGCCTCATTCATGGCAGTCCAAAGGTCGCGGGAGACAAGGATCGAGGGCCCATGTACATCGGCAATAGCGGAGACGATATCTGCTGGCTTTCGACCTGCAAGGCAATCATGCCACCCCTCGGAGGGTCGCTTGTGCTTGGAAAACAAGGTACAAAAACAGCACCGCCGTGCGAGACGATAGACTCCGAGAAAGCGCTCAAAGTGGACGGCTGAGACCGCCTCGTCATCAAAAATGATAGAAGCAACACCCAGTGAACAGATACTCGACTGGAAGTTAACGTCGTGCGGCAACAGAAGATGCGTACTCGCCAGCAGTCGATCTGCACATGGCCGGCAAACGACGAATCCCATTCCCTGCGCGGTGCACACGCGCTCAGCTTGGCCTCGTTCCCTGCGTCTGTGGCAGTCAGAGCGGAGTTTGTTGTGGACCGCCGTGGCGAGCGGAACTTCTTCCACAATATGGCCCGTGGTCCTGAATGTCTTCTGATGGTCATGTGAGTACCACTTTTATGTTCAACATCGAGAGTCATATTCTGATGGAAAACATGCTAGGGAGTTTTGTGCATTGCGTCAGAGAAAACGAGGAATCAGACAGCGGCTGATTGTGATTGCGATGTTTGGCGTACAGCGGGCGCTTACGGTGTGACGGGAAGCCATCCGCGGTGCAGCGTCAGCGCTTCATGAGACAAGAGATGACGGTGACCAAGATGAGACAAGACAAGGCGTGGTATGCAAGCCAAGTGATCAATCGGGGGCGCAAGCCGGACTAAGATGCAGGGTCGTCTTGCAAAGAGCTTCTTTCAGCATTCACGAGGGGGCCGAGGATGCAGAGCACCAGATGAAGTCTGATGTCCTGTGCGGTGATCAGCGCACAGCCGCCGGGGCAGGGTCCAACGACAGCCATGGTCGACGCGCGCTGCAAGGCATGGGCGCTTTCGGACAGCTCGAGGTTTGGACGCGTATGCAAGTAGGTTGAGGGACTTTGTGTGTGCCACCACGCTCGATGGAGGGATTGAGGGCGAAGCTGACCAGCCTGAGATGGATTGTTCTTGGGGAATCTGATCAGGCCTGGACGACTTTGAACTGCAAGCTGTAAGCTGGGGCCAGAGGCCAACCAGCGCATTGATTAATGTTGGGGCCTCGAATGAGGGGTGCGTACGTAGCAAATGCTGTTGACACAAGGTTCTCAGCCAGTCGTCTCGCAGGCAGGCAACCTCAGCGCTTGTAGAGCAGTTTAGTTGACGACGGTCTTCCCGCAGACCACGCCGCATGCTGTGACGGTTGACGTCCTGCTGGCCACGTCTCCATCTCCACGCTTGCTACTTGCTGTGTCTTGACTGTGCTCTCCTGCGTGTGCCAGAATCGGTTGCTCACGCGGGCAGCTGTAGTGACAGTGTAGTCACTGCTAGAGGCCCTGAACCACCGAACGCTCGAGTGCCTTTTACCTCTCCACAGCTGTTGTGAGCCCAGCCTTCTGAAACAGGCCGTGACCCCCGCCGCGGAGTGCCGACGGCTGCACCCTCTGCAGCAGCCCTCCCAACACACTCCTCTCGCAGCCTTACCCGCCCTGAGTCGCGCCTGCCGCCTGCGAGCCGCACCTGCCTAGGACTCGTGGCCCGCCAACGTCACATCCGCTGCCCAGTCCTCCACTGCACCACAACTCTGCTCCCACCTCCGTGCTCACCCCTCAGTGCTCCCCCCAGTGCTCACCCTTCCGCCTCCGCCGCCGCCACCTGCAAGAGTCAATCCGCATTCCTCGGCTGACGGCAGCGAACCGTCACGCCGGAACCCACGCTTCCCGCGTGCAACCCTCCGCCTGGACAAACACGTCCTCGTTGTCGAGGAATCTGTGACGTCTCTGCGTCTCCGGGGTCCCAGTGCACTTGGCTGACTAGGCGTCCGCCGTGGCCCTCGCACAGCAGGCGCTCCTTCTGCAGTAGGCACCTGCTGCATCGGGAGTCGTGCGGGCTGTGCCGCGAGAAGTGCTTCTGCGAAGATACCGCGAGAGATGCTGCCAGGTTTCTCTGCAAACGGGACGTCGAGTCCCCCGTCCACCATGGCCTCACCTGTGCCCATGCTCCGAGCGCCTGTCCCTGGCCGCGGGCCTCGCAAGCCGGCCCTTGGCCTTTCGATCCCGCCCTCACCGAATGCTCGACCCGTCGTGAACGGCTCGAGCGAGGCGCAGCCCGGCGTCGGTCGGCCTGCGCCTCCCCGTCTCCAGCTCGCGACACCCATGGGCTCGAACACCACCCCACAAGAAGGCGGTCGCCCGCGACTGCAACTCGCAACTCCCATGGGTTCGAGTAGGACACCACAAGGACTGCCGCCACTCCAGATATCGACAGGGCTCTCTGCCAACTCGAGCGACGCGAGCGCCAACTCACGATCTGGCAGCTTCGGCGAGAACCAAGCGAACGGCTCAGCGTCATCATATCAAAATGGCTCGGGCTTCTCTTCGACATTACAAGAGCCGGGCCAGGCCACGGATCCCATCTCAGCCATATCACAAGGTGGAAGCGAGGGTGGGTCGGCCATGCAGAGAGGTGCGAGCAGCCAGCCCATGCCAGACCTGGAGGCCTTGTCGCTAGAGAAGGGCCGCCCCTTGGATGTCGAGGACCTCGACGATATGGGCTGGAGAGCAGCCAGCAAAAACAAGCTGATCGAGGAGCTCGGCAGTCTCGGGGAGGGTGCCGGTGGCGCTGTCACAAGGTGCAAGCTCAAGGGCGGAAAGACCGTCTTTGCCCTCAAGGTAGGTAAACGCTGCCGGTCACGATACCTATGCTGATCACCCAACCCTAGATCATCACCACAAACCCCGACCCAGACGTCAAGAAACAGATTGTACGAGAACTGTCGTTCAACAAGAACTGCGCCAGCGACCACATCTGTCGGTACTGGGGCGCCTTCGTCGACGACGATGGCACGATCAGTATCGCCATGGAGTTCTGCGAAGGTGGATCTCTGGATGCAGTATACCGTGAAGTCAAGAAGCTGGGCGGCCGCACGGGCGAGAAGGTGCTCGGCAAGGTTGCAGAAGGCGTACTGAACGGCCTGACGTACCTACACTCTCACCGCATTATTCATCGAGATATCAAGCCAAGCAACATCCTGCTCTGCCGAAACGGGCAGGTCAAGCTATGCGATTTCGGAGTGTCGGGCGAGTTTGGCACCAAGGGCGACGCGAATACCTTCATTGGCACATCGTACTACATGGCGCCCGAGCGAATCACTGGACAGAGCTACACCATCACGAGCGATGTGTGGAGCTTGGGCGTGACACTTCTCGAAGTTGCACAGCATCGGTTCCCGTTCCCTGCGGACGGCACAGAGATGAGCCCCCGGGCCGGACTCATTGATCTTCTGACATACATTGTGCGGCAACCGATCCCAACGCTGAAGGACGAGCCCGAGGCTGGTATCAAGTGGTCGGAGAACTTCAAGTACTTCATCGAGTGCTGGTGGGTGGTCCTAATGTTCAGACACGATAGCTTTACTGACATGAGACAGCCTCGAGAAGGATTGCCCGCGGAGAGCGACACCGTGGCGCATGCTCGAGCACCCGTGGATGGTGGAGATGAAGTCGAAGAAGGTCAACATGGCGCACTTCCTCAAGCAGGTGTGGGACTGGAAGGAGTAGGGCTTTGGCGGCTGCTGTTCGACACGACACTCTTTTCTCTGTGGATGTAGATTTAGGTCATGTGCTGGACATGGACCGAGAGCTGATGAGACAACCACGGCCCTGGCACGTGGTGCAATGAGGATTAGCAGGCATGCACAGCAAAGTGCAAGGATGCCGATGACGAGGTCAAAACGATGTGAAGAGTCGAGACGACATATTGCAGCTTGACAGTCAGGTCAGGCATAGCAGCACGGAGCGGAGAACGATTGGCATTGATGGCGGAGAACGGTTGGCATTGACGGCGGAGAACGGTCGGCATTGACGGCGGAGAACGGTTGGCATTGACGGCGGAGAACGGCTGGCATTGACGGCGGAGAACGGCTGGCATTGACGGCGGAGAACGGCTGGCATTGACGGCGGAGAACGGCTGGCATTGACGGCGGAGAACGGTTGGCATTGATGGCGGAGGACGATTGGCATTGACGGCGGAGGACGATTGGCATTGACGGCGTTGGAGCTACAGGTAGGTTCTTGTGGCATACAGCGACGTGGTAGTGGACACGACAACAATGTGAAGACAACAATACTACGTCAGCCTCGTCTACGCGTAGCGTGTTGTCGTCTGTGCCTGTGAAGTGGGATGAGGCGCCAGCCGGTTTGGGGCTAGACTTGCGCTCGGGCCGTGTGAGGTGCAGCGTTGCGGGACCACGGTCAAAGTTCCAGTTCGAGTTTGGAGTCATCGAAATCGTCAGTCGGCCGCCTTGACGCCACAACAGTCGTCGACGAAGACATTGACGGCGCGCAGAAGCTTCTCTGAGTCTCGGGCTATCCTCGACATCGACATCGTATCCACAAACCCGACACAACGCGCTCGTCGCACGCGACAGCCCCGCCGACGACCCCGCCACATTTCCCCGGACTCGCATCTCCAGCGCCCAAACCGCCAAGATGCCTACGATCGCGGTCGACAAGGCGGCGCTCTTCAAGGAGCTCGGTCGCGAGTACACGACGGCCGAGTTCGACGAGCTGTGCTTCGAGTTCGGCATCGAGCTGGACGAGGACACCAGCCAGAGCTCCAAGCCCGAGGACCAGGCGCAGCCGCCGCAGCTGAAGATTGAGATCCCCGCGAACCGCTACGACATGCTCTGCTTCGAGGGCATCGCGCTGAACCTCAAGGTCTTTCTCGGCAAGGAGAAGCTGCCGCAGTGGCGCGTCACGCAGCCCGCCGACGGACAGCTGCAGGAGCTGCACATCAAGCCCGAGGTAGGCGGCGCGCGAGACGTGAGACGGGCGACGCCAGCAGCCAGACGCTGACCCACGGCAGACTGCCCAGATCCGCCCGCTGTGCTCGGCCGTCATCCTGCGCGGCATCGCCTTCACCCAGGCCCGCTACGACTCGTTCATTGCGCTGCAGGACAAGCTGCACCAGAACCTCGCCCGCCAGCGCACCCTGGTCTCGATTGGCACACACGACCTCGACACGGTCCAGGGCCCCTTCACGTACGAGGCGCTCAAGCCCGAGGACATTGAGTTTGTCCCGCTCAACCAGACCAAGAAGATGAACGCCCGCGAGCTGATGGACTTTTACGAGGTGCGTGCCCGCCCGGGCGAGACGGACAGCCTGCGCTGACACGCCGCAGAAAGACAAGCACCTCGGCCGCTTCCTGCACATTATCCGCGACTCGGCCGTCTACCCCGTCATCTACGACGCGAACCGCACCGTGCTGTCGCTGCCGCCCATCATCAACGGCAACCACAGCAAGATCACGCTCGACACCAAAAACGTCCTGGTGGAGATCACCGCGACGGACAAGACCAAGGTCGAGATTGTGAACCACATGCTCACCGCCATGTTCGCGGGCTACGCCGAGTCGATAGAGGCCGTCAACATTGTCTCGGACCACAACAACGAGTCGCGCATATCGCCCGACCTCTCGCCGCGCGAGTGGAAGGCCGAGGTCGACTACCTCAACAACGTCACGGGACTCGACCTCTCGCCCGAGGAGATTTCGAAGCTCCTCGCCAAGATGGGCCACGACGTGTCGCCCTCGAAGACGGACAAGAACGTGCTCGACGTGTCGGTGCCGATTACAAGAGCAGACATACTCCACCAGGCCGACATCATGGAAGACTACTCGATCGCGTACGGCTTCAACAAGCTGCCGCGCGTGTACCCCAACAAGACGGCGGCCGTCTCGGCCCCGCTGCCCGTCAACAAGCTCGCGGACATTGTGCGCCTCGAGTCGGCGTCGGCCGGGTGGACCGAGGTGATGCCGCTGATCCTGTGCTCGCACGAGGAGAATTTTGCGTGGCTGAACCGCGTCGACGACGGGCAGACGGCCATCAAGCTCGCCAACCCCAAGACGGCCGAGTACCAGCTCGTGCGCACGTCGCTGCTGCCGGGGCTGCTGAAGACGATCAACTCGAACAAGCACCACGCGGTGCCCATCAAGGTGTTCGAGGTCAGCGACGTCGGCTTCAAGGATGAGACCAAGGAGCGCAAGAGCAGGAACGAGCGCCACTTTGCCGCTGCCATCATGGGCAAGACGAGCGGCTTCGAGCAGGTTCACGGCTTGCTGGACCGCGTCATGCTCATGCTGCGGAGTAAGTTTGTGACGCGCGAGGACGGGCTGGAGGCGGCGTTGGACGGGTACTGGATCGAGGAGACCGAGGGTAAGTCGCGCAAGTGCAGACGGACAGACGGCACGAGCGAGTCCAAGACACCGACGACGATTGACTAACGAGGCGCAGACAAGACGTTCCTCCCTGGGCACGCGGCGTCGATCAAGGTCAACCTCGGCGGGAAGACGCACACCATTGGCGTCTTCGGCATCCTGCACCCCAGCGTGCTGCACAAGTTCGAGCTGCCGTACCCGGTCAGCACCGTCGAGTTCAATCTCGAGGTGTTTTTGTAGACGCAGGCGCAGATGTAGATGTAGACGCAGACGCAGATGTAGATGTAGACGCAGACGCAGACGCAGACGCAGACGCAGACGCAGACGCATACGCATACGCATACGCAGACGCAGACGCAGACGAGACGCTCTCAGAGATGGTGCAAAACAATTCAAACAAATCTACGACAGCTACCAAGAGTGCCCATCTTCGTGACCCCAGCCGTGCCATACAAGACGACAAATCACAGCCCATACTCAAACGTCATCCTCTCATCGCCCTGTCTCCCGCCACGCATCGCACGCTCGAGCCACTTTACGGCGCCGACCCAGCCACAGCGCCGCAGCACCGCCATCCAGCCCTCGGCGACGGCGTGTCTCTGCACGAGCGGCCCCGCGCCCCTTGCCCGCTCGGCCTCGACCTGCTCGGGCCCCCACTCTCGCACAATCGCACGACGGCGCTCATTCTCCGCGCGCAAGTTACGCAGGAAAAGCAAATACCCGGCCGCGGCAAGCGCAACACACAGCAACGTCCACCAAAACGGCACAATGTACCCCTCCTCGGCGTACCGCGGCCGAAACAGCAGCGCGGCGAGCACGCCGGCGAGATTGCCCCAGCCGTTCAGACCGAGCATCAGCGCCCTCTTCCCGGGGAGGGGGGTGTTGCCGCTTATCCACGCCACCGTGAGCGGGGACGCAATGTATGCGCCGCTCACCAGCACGGTGAGGCTGAGGTACCTGAGCACCGGCCACGACTCGGGCAGTGCGACGACAAAGATGAGGCCTGTTGCCATTATGCTCAGACCGAGCAGGATCGGGCGCAGCCGCTGTTGTGTTGTGTCGCTGTACGAGGCGAATGCGAACAGGGTCACGGCGCCGCACACGTGCGGCGGCGCGGTGAGGAGGTTCACCAGGCTCGGCGACGCGCTGTGGCCCGTCAGGGGCGCGAGCACGAGCGGGAGGAACACGGAGAAGGCGTAGACGGGGACCGCGCTGAGGATGTTGCACGCCAGCAGGTGCCAGGCGCGGGGCGAGGCGAGCGCCGAGAGGATGTCGTGCGGGGTGAGGCCGCGGTCGTCGAGCGCCGCGCGGCCGTCGTCTGAGCAGTCGTCGGCCACGGCGGCGGACGGGGTAAGCAGGCGGCGGGCCTCCTCGGCCGCGGCGGGCGTCGGCGACCAGTCATTCGAGTCGCGGTGCTTGGAGCGCGCGGGGCGGCCCTGGTGCGCGAGGCGGTCCCGCAGCATGCGCTTGGCCGCGTACCGGCGCTCGGCGGGCGTGAGGAACCAGGCCGTCTCGACGCTGTGCGGCAGCCACGCATACCCGGCCAGCGCGACGGCCATGGTCAGGCCGCCCTCGAGCAGGAACAGCACCTGCCACGCGTGCCAGGGCGAGTCGGCGGCCGAGTGGTCCGGAAAGCGGCGGAAGACGAGGAAACTGAGGACGCCGCCGAGGGCGCCGCCGACCGCGGCCTGGCCGTAGAACAGCGACAGGCGGCGGCCAAACTCGAAGCGCGTGTAGAACAGCGACAGATACGACACGGTCACGGGGTAGAAGCCGGCTATCGCGCACACAAACGTCAGCACAGTTCACTCTTGACGCTTCACACTTCACACTCCAGCGAGCGCGATGCGGCGGCACACACCCTCCAAGCACCCAATCACACTCCGCAGCGCATACAGCTGCCACCGCGCCCGCACCCAGACGTGCAGCACGGTGCAGGCGCCCCACAGCAGCATGCACGACGGGACCCAGGCGACCATGCCATAGCGACGTCCCAGCGCGGCGCCCGCGGGCTGCAGCGCGACGAAGAAGGCGAAGAACAGCGCAACGGCCGTGTTGACGTCGCCGCTGTCGAGCCCCATGTCGCGCGAAAAGTGCGCCGACTCGGCATTGCCAATCTGTGCCGTGTGCTGTCAGCGCGGTGCGGCGCCGTCGAGGGCGCGGCCGGACCTACGTTGGACTTGTCGAGCGAGTTGAAGAGGAAGAGGAGCGCCAGGAAGGGCAGCAGCAGCGTGTCGAGTTTCAGCAGCGTTCGCCTGTGCAGGTGCGAGCTGGTGCGCTGCTCGTCGTTGTCGCTGTCGCTGTCGCTGTTGCTGTTGTTGTTGTTGTTGTTGTTGTTGTTGTTGTTGTTGCTGTTGTTGTTGTTGCTGTTGTTGCTGTTGCTGTTGTTGATGTTGCTGTTGTTGTTGTTGCTGTTGTTGCTGTTGTTGCTGTTGTTGTGGTCGTCGTCGGCGTCGCGCATCGTGCGTGCTGGCGACCGAGGCGGGAGGAGGGAGAGCTCGTGTTGCGCGCTCATCGTCGTGGGTGCGCTGTGGCCAAGACGAGGGATCCGCGGTGCATCACAGAGCCTCCGCTATCGCATGACCTTCCTGTGCAGTGTGCATGTGAAAACCATGGCGCGCCGCTGTTAGTGAGGCTGGTCCGATGCGATGTAGCTGTCAGATCACCGCTTGTTGGACCCTGTGCCGCTGCAGGTTGAGCATGGCTGATGACGTGATTGGCGTCGCCTGGAGCTGACTACCTACTACACCATCTACATATCCAACCCGGCCACGCTCGTCCAAACAATCCGACTGCTCGTTCAGACAATCCGACTGCTCGTTCAGATCATCCGACTGCTCGTTCAGACAATCTGACTGCTCGTTCAGATCATCCGACTGCTCGTCCAAATCATCTGACTGCTCCTCCAAATCATCCGACTGCCCCTCCAACAATCTCACGCACGCCGATCCACCGCCGTCCACCCACAGTGAGCCGAGTGCAGGCAAAGGTCAACCATGTGCTAATTCGCTACCACCCCCAAACGCAACAGTCCAACATGTCCACCCTCTCCGGGCCCCTGCTCGCACCTCCAACATCATACGCTAGCCCCTGCCGGTACTTCCATCGCGCAGCTGCACTCGGACACGCTCCACACCGCTGTCTCGCTTGCTTGTTGACGTCGACGCTCGCGCTGGAGCTATTGCAGTCCGGTCTTCCCTCCCATGCGAGCAGCACGCACGCGTATCCATCCCACGTCGCACCATCGTCCTTGATCAGACCAGCAATTGCATCACCCAAGCTGACCCGCCCCGTCTTCTGATTGTTCACGCCCGCTCCGTCTTCGAATTGTTCACACCTGCTCCGTCTTCGAACTGTTCACACCTGCTCCGTCTTCGAACTGTTCACACCTGCTCCGTCTTCGAATTGTTCACACCTGCTCCGTCTTCGAATTGTTCACACCTGCTCCGTCTTCGAATTGTTCACACCTGCTCCGTCTTCGAACTGTTCACACCTGCTCCGTCTTCGAATTGTTCACACCTGCTCCGTCTTCTGATTGTTCACGCACGTTCTCGTGCACTCCGTCATCCTCAGGTCGCCATCCGCGACTCGGGCGCAGGCGTGACGACGATGCGGGGCTGGTTGGACCGCGGGAAGCTGGCGCGCCGCGGCGAGAACTGCTGGTCGTAGCTCTTCTCCTCAATGTGCAACAGCATCGACAGCAGGCTCATGATGCCCATGCCGGGCACGAGGCTGGGCGAGGAGAAGCGCTGTTCGAGCGCATCGATGTGCTGCGTGCGCGTGTCGATGCGGAGACGGCGGTTGGGGTGAGGCATTGCGTATGTGTGACTGCTGGGCTCGTAGTAGTCGCGCTGAGCGTTCATGGCAAGACGTCGATAGGCGTCAGAGTAGGTATATGTAGGTATATGTAGGTATATGTAGGACGAGTGTGGTCTTGCTTCGTACGAGGCGCGCTGCCGTCGAAACCCGGTGACAATGAGGGGGTGACCCTCAGTATATACCGCATCCGCCTCCCCTCGGTACTCGCCATGGGCCGCCAGTTTTTCACGCTCCCTACCATACACGTCAGGTATACGACTAGCTGGTCGACCATCATCGTCGGTTCGCATGATGCTCCTACACGCTTCCCCTGGCTGCAGCGTGCTCGTCCTGCCCAATGAGAATCCTCGCCGAGATGACATCTGCACGGACTGCCGGACAGAATCATCGCTAGCGCTCCCGTTCAGGGTTGGCTAGGGCTGGCTCGGATGACGGTCGAAACAAGAGAGATGAAGAACAAGGCACGGACCGAGTGTCGGTGAGGACGGTCAGTCGGAGCATCATCGGTCAGCGGGGGTTGGTTGGCCGCGCGAGACTGTGCAGGAGGGGCAAGAACAAGGTTTGGTGATGCCGCGCAGATCCGCCCCGGGCCCAGGGCGTCTGCAGCACAAGTCGGTAGTTCGTGAGCAGCGAGCCGACAACTTGTGGTTCAACATCGAAAACTGTTGTGTCTGTGCTGTGCTGAAGCACAAGTGTATAAATGCGCTCACCTGCCTGATAGGGCATGATTGTTGTGGGGCAATTGATTGCAGTGGACGCCCGAGCGATCTCAATACACGCTCGGCGTATTTACCATGAGCATCCACAGCCAGGCTTCCCGTGGTGCCTGAGCTCGTGGTAAGCATTCGCAACGATCGTCTCGACCGACTCGGACTCGAGCTGTAAAAGCTTGTTGCTACTGCATCTTTGGAAAGGCTCGGCCGCATCGAGTCCTTCGTCGTAGAGGATGCTGCGTTCCAGCAGGAACATGCCAGAGTCGGGATAGCCGCGCTGGATGCGTGCTTCGCCCTCCTTGATGCAGTCTTCGACGTCGTAGTTGCCGACTGTGAACTCCCGCTGCGTAGTTTTCTCGGCACTGCGCAGGACCTCGTTGGCCGACGTCAGCGTGCCGGCTGCATAGATGTACTGGTTCGCGACTTCATCCCAGTCGACAATCACGCGTGCTACGACTTGGCCCACTCGCTGCAGACTCGACGCTGCGAACGTCTCGGTGCCGGTGCCGTGGAGAGTTGCACTGTGCCACTCCATATCAACGCCCATGTTGCCGCTGATGAGCCCGGTGTCCAGCGTGTATCCTGTCGCTACCCCGACCCACTCGAAGCCTGCAGTTTTCTTACACGCCTCCCGAAGATACTCTATGACCTTTGCGCGCCCACCAGACTTTGCTACCCGGCTCGATACCCCCTTGTTCAGCGTGTCGTGGCCAAACTCGTGCGGTACGAAGCCCCGGACGCCGGCTGCGATTGCTGCATCTATGATCCTGATCTGCTGATCTGAGTCTCCTCCGGCCGTGGTACTGATAACAAGGTCCTGCCCGGCCAGTGCAGACTCGAGCGAGGCGGGCGAGAAGTCTGACTTTTGGTGACTGACAGCATCGGTCGAGAGGTGTGGTGGCAGATGCAGCCACTGAGAGGGTTTGGTGAGGACCGAAAGCTGCAAGTTCGAATGCAGCTGGCCCTTATCGGCTGGTTTGAGGGCGTTGATGATGCTCAGACACAGCTCCCAGTTCTACGCTTGTTAGTTGTCCTGACTGTCTAGTCAAGATGACTCCCTTACGCCAATGATCATGACCTTTTCAATCGCCATGTTGTGTCGGAATGATGGTGGTGATCTGATTACTGGATAGCAGTGATGCGGCGTCAGTCATTTAAAGATTGTGCCTGTCGTCCGCCGGCTCAAAGGAAGACTAGAGCAGGTGCGGTCGTTGTGGAGTGAGGGGTTAGTCTGTGACCAAAAAACGTCCAGTAGGCAGATATCGGAGACTATTCATGTATGCACTCATAGTGTCGAGCCATTGAGCGTACATCTTCTTCTACTGTTCTACAGACCAAACAACAGCCTGTAAAGCCCTGCCCCGGTCGTGAAGGTGCATCGAGCTTGGTCAATGGGAGAGTGGCGCCGTCAGAATCACGAGCGGCGGCTGCCCGAGCGAGAACTCAGTCCATGATGTCACGTTGGGCTTGTTGATGCTGGAGGCGAAGTGTGGGGTGCAGTTGCGATGTGAATGCCAAGCGCACGTGATCTCGCGGCTCTTCCCGCAATGGCAGCTCAGCAAGAGCTTTTGGCATCACCACGCCTGTCCACCTCCACCCGCAACCCCATCACCGCGCATCCCCCCGGGCCGCAAACACTCACCCAGTGCGTCAATTCCGCGCCAGCAAGCTCGTCCGCTGCCATTGGCCTCCCCGCGCGCGCGCACCGCTGACCGCAGACTCAGACCGCCCACGATGAACACCACCCGCTTCCTCCGTCCCTTCGCCAGGGCCGCTTTCCGCGCGCCCACGGCCGTCCGCCCTGCCGTCATGGCCCGCCCCGCGCTCGCCAGCCAGCAGCAGAAGAAGACTCCCGAGGTCGGCGCCCAGCAGATGGTGCGCAAGCCCCGTATCCGCTCGGAATCGCAGAGGGTGCTAACACCAACGCAGACGATCCTCAAGTCGGCCATGCCCCAGCTGATCCCCTTCTTCTTCGTCAACGAGACCACCGTGGCCTTCGTCCTGCTCCCCACCCTCATCTACATTTTCTCCAAGTACATCCTGCCCCAGCGCCTCCGCCTGTTCGCTAGCCGTCTGTTCATCAGCAAGTTGTAAGCGGAGAGTCGAGGACTAGCGGAGGATGTGTACAAATAGTCGACATGTGCTCATAGACAATCGAATGGCATAAGGCCTTACATGGAGAATGGTCTTGGAGCAACAATTTATGAACGATTGGATGTGTTGATGAGAAGCAGGTAACAGCAGTGTTCTGACGTGGACATGCTTCGAGCCTGACCAGCGAACAACCCACTGCGCGAGCTGGACGCGCCAGGAGACCCTCACTACTGCCACTCGAGGACACAAATTACGAAAGCTGTTTAAGTACATTTGCATACCATCAACGACGGACACCAGCGCGACAGCATACAGCAGCAATGTGTGCATCACGTCTCGTGCTTTACTAAGACTGAGCAGGCACTGGGAAATGTCCCCATTTGACATGCTCCTGCCCATCACCTCTCGCAGGCAGACCCCCAATGACTCCCACAAAGAGCTCAGAATCAACCTTGGAACCTTTCGATGGCCCGCCGATCATGCCACCTCGATGAAGCAACCCAGAGCCATGCCCCATTTACCCTAGCACATGCAACCCGCCAAAGTACACATTGTCCATGGCAAATCAGCTCATGACCATTGGATGAGGCACACGTTCTCCATAACACAGATCTCATGGGCTTTCCATAGCGTTAGACACTGGTTATCTCCTCCGACTTTCTAGCCGCCATCAACCTCCACAACATTCTGCAGCCTGAAGTGCCGCGCTCTTACTTCATTCTCGGGTCGCTGCTGTCAGTCTCCTGCAGGGGTCTTCTGATGCGTTTGTACTTTCTCTCTGCACCTTATCTGCTTTGATTCAACCTCACAACCATCTCACCACGTAAACAGCTCCAGTCCACATGAACCCCTTCCAGACAACGACCATCCTCGCCACCATGGCTGCGTTTGGAGACACGACTCTGGCACGGAGCTACCATCGTACGGACGACATTGCCGATTCTGAGTTTCAGTATCGATACGTCGATCCGATTACGTTGCCAACGAACTTCATTCTCGGATGAAGGACACGTGCTCTTGTGCACGTCTTCAATGAAGCTTCCCATCAGGTGTGGTGCGGGAATCAGTCACTCGAAATAAGAGTACGTTAATCTGGTCATTCTACGTGTGCGGTGAGGGGAACGGATGGGCCTCGGCGTGAACATGTAGTTGTCTAACCTGATCTTAGCGGGCTCACCGAAATAAGATCTTAGCGGGCTCACCGAAATAAGATAGGACTACTTGATACATCCTGCTATCCAAGATGTTCCTATGCTATTCTCCATTACGGCCATGCCCCGCCCGTTGCGTCGCGAAGAGCGGAATTCGGGCAGGTGCTGTTGACCAACGCTGTGAACATATACCACGCATAGTCACGGTCGGCAGTGTCGCCCGTCAAGTGGTACATATAGAAAGTTGACTTAATCATCTCTGGCCTACTGATCCATCTCCGTCACTGCTGAATGCACCTAAGCCATCTGCAGTCCAGTCAGATGCCGATAATTCCGACAGCTGCGCATCGAAAAGACTCCCGGCATATGCTGTGTAGAGCAATTTTGTAGATCCACGCACATACGTTTGCAATCTTCACCTGATATTGACATGTGAGTCGCTTGAGAACACTTGTTCACTGGAGTATCAAATGATGTTTTGGGTCATATCAACCTCGCCTGTGCCCTCAGGCCAGGCGTCGATCTTCTCTGCGGCGTTGACAGCTGTAACGAACTCACTCGACATACACATAAAAGGGTATCGAGACTATCGACGAGTGTCAGGTCCAAGCCGTCAGAGGTAGCCTTGAAGCCCCTGAGATTGGTGCAGCCTCGTCCTTTGCCCAAGCCCGGTTTTTGCATTGTTAACGTTTCTAAATACATGTTCATCGCTTTTCGCCTCTCCGAGGTTCTGATGTCGACACTCTCGGTCTGAGTAACCACGTGCCGCATACCTGGAATCTACGACGGCTGTCACAACAGCACTTGCGGGCAAGAGCTCAGTCCTGGTATCCCTGGGCTCATTTCCCGATGAGTTGTAAGCGGTTCTTAATCTTCAGGGTGCCACAATGTCCTTCTGTACACATGAAATCCAAAGCATCAGTCTACGACTCCCAGAGCCAGGGTATTCGGAGCTCGTCCACGGTCCTGTCGGGAAAATGTATGTCCATGCGCGGCACATTGTCATCTGCCGCGGTATCTTGATCGTCGATGAGCGCACTGCGAGGTCACTTTCAAGGGTGACCAACTGGACTCAAACGCAAGCAATCGCAGACAACATTGTTGTTCTGCCATTCTCGACATGGCCCTTACCAAGAACCGTTCATCTCCACATACCTAGGGCTCGTTTAAAGCAGACACTAGTCGTTCCCCGAGCAACCACGATGTTTGTTGCACGTAGCACACTCTTCCGATGACTCAAAACGGGTCGAGATACTGGAGAAGATGGCTTGGGAGCGAAAATCTGATATTTTCCGCTGGAGATGAAGGAATCGGGACGAGCTGAGAAAGGCGTACTTGGGAGGTTTGTGTAGATTCTCAACCTCAAATTTAGGTTTCCACAACGATATCATCTCGTCTCGAAGACTGCAAAATAGCCTGAGCGATTGGTGATTCTCATGACAACCACAGGGCATACATCGGTACCTGATCGATCATCGGACCTTAGCATGTACGCTGACTTCACATGCGCACTGCCATTTGAGCTGTTGTAGCAGCGCCAGGGGATTGTCCGTGGTCAACTACGCCAGGATCTGCTTACGCATGAATATGTACACGACATGCGAGACATTTGTGGCCATCTGCTAAAGTGCAGATTCAAATTCAATGGCTCATTCCTTTTCGAACCACTAAGATGGGTCAACTGGCGATGTACGAGGGTCTCGGCGGAGACTCTCTAATACAGATGGCAGGAAAGTAATGGTCTTTAACTGTCGACGAGTAACGCCAATTAAGACGTCACTCGATCTACGCCAGTCCATTCCTCATCTGCAATCCACTACGCCCGACGCCGCCATCACGCTCTCCCAGACAGCGATCTATACGCCTGATCAATGTCCATCGTCACAGTTTTCCTCTTATTCAACAGCCACGGGTTCGTTTCAAATTTTGGCGCTTCCAGATTTCTGGCATCACCATACTCCCAGAGTCACAATCGAACACGGATCTTCCCAATCAACAGCATCCAAATACTCCTCGTATCCCGAACGAATCTTTCTCCGGTCGCACCACACGTGCTGGGTGCTTTCGTAACATTTTCGTTCTCGAGTCGGTTGTACAGCTGCTTGACGTTTTCATACTGAGACTGAGCAAAGGCCACTGGCAGGTTTTGCTATGCAGCAAGTTCGTCTAAATCGCGGTTGTGGAAGACATCTGCCAGGACGTAGCGGTCGCTCGGTCGTGTGATCACGGTCTTGCGGCTGGCGACGGCATTATTCTGCGAACGGGAGTGCTGCACAGGCCATTGGGCGGCTGATCGATCCGTCTGCGTTGACAGATTTGCGATTCGAGTTGTTCTGCGGTGGAATGTTCTTTGCGGTCTGGTGTACATATTGCCCTTTATACCATGTCAGTATTCTCATTCTTGCGCAGGTGCTCGCAGAAGCATCACAGGTCGGCTCAGATGTACGTGGAATCGTTCCTACTGGCTATGGAACGGTCTCGATCCTGCTCATAATGGACTCGGTTCACGTGCTTGAACAGCTCGTGTCTGGCGTCATTACTGAGCGCTGTGTCTGGGCTCTGTTGACATCGTGGCACTCTCCTGTCAACGATCCTAGCATAGTGTTGTCCTAGGACGCAGTACACTCCGAGCGATGATCCCGAATCTTCGTGGCCTTGGCTGCAGACCTGGCGTGCAAGGCCTTTTCCTGCTGATTCGGCCACACCCCGAGCCAGCAAAGGAAGAGGTACGAGAACGAATGAACGATTCTGAATTGCTGTAAATCTAGCACACGACGGGGCTTTGCTGCAGGCTGATACTGGAACGTGTCTGTCAGTGTAAAGATGATGAAGACGAAGTATAATTGCTGGCACACTTTATCTGGTCGCGAGTAAGCTGTCAGCCGAAAGAAGCATTTCGAAGAAAGAAGCTGAGATTGGCGGCCAACGTGCGGCTGGTTGGTGTGCGAAATCTCGCTTCGCAGACATTGCACCAAGAAGACAATCCTCTGATACGGTGATTGGATCTGTTGGGAAGACCGGACCGGCAACATCACATGGATCCATGAAGGGCGATACGTAAATACGAGCGGTAGGACAAAAGTCTCGCGGGGGTCGATGGGTGGTGTATGGAGAGAGCGGGTGAGCAACCGAACATGGAACATAGATCCACGTAAACTGAAGAGGTGCGGGTGGAATCGCAGAACGAGAGGTTCGTCTGTGTGGAACGGAGGCTTCGTGAACGCAAGAAGGTGCCGCTGGGGGCGATCCAACTGACCCGTTAACGTCTTGAGCTATCAAATTATCCACGTCAGTGCTTTCAAAATGTTTGAGACGGTGTCCTGTGGCGTCCAGTATTTGTGCGTCCAGCTTTAAGGGGAGAGCTGCTGCATGGAACAATTGAACAGCAGGTGATCAAAATGGGAGTTGTGGTGCAAATTGCAGAGGAGTTGACCACTGTGTCCCAGTTGCGCAGCGCCGATGCGTCCTGGAGGGTTTACAGATACGATCCGGGCATGCAAGGACTCGAAGGCAAAGATCGCTTTGTGTTTGTTATATGGAAAAAAGGTATGCAGGAGCAACGATCCATTGGCAGCGCTGTCATCGGTCTCATAGCCGTGAGATACATCCAAGGGAGGGATATGAAAGGAGCACAACTGAAAGCAGAAGAAATGGGCTAACAAAAGGAAACCAGAATCGACAGGAGTTGCGAGGAAGGCAATACCTTCCCATGGAGGAAGAGGGAAGGGAGAGTTGAGATCGAGGCGATCAAAAGATCAACCAGGTAGAGCTGTTCGTTGTACCTCCTGCATCGGTCTCAAATCGTGGGTACCGGTAATTAATTGCGAATCGAGGCGGACAATACCGCGATAAGTTGGTCGCGCGACAAGTGGGGCCCAATATCAATGCTTTGGTCAATCCCATTTCGCTTGCGCATCAAGCTTTTCAAGGCAGTCTATTCTCAGCCTGAGTCCGCGAACCATTGGCGATACCGATCGACGCAGGCGACATCAGGTTCGATTGGCGGAGACTGCTGCATCATGCCAGCGCTGCTTTCCGCGATGACATCCGGATGAATGCAGGAGTTCGGCACGTGCAATTTGCACCCCTTGGAAGCGGTCAGCGTGTGTTGCCCACCTGGAGTGTGCATGACCATTGCCACGCTGCAGGCCAGTCCACAGCGGCTGAAACACGGATGAGGGCCCGCGATCAGAGGAGCAAAAGTCCCGATGACGGCATTCTCACGGCGAGATGTGTGGAACCAAAGTCGCGCAGGGACAGCGAAAGGCTGATGCCGAAATGAAGGTCGACCGGTGGGCGTGGAGTGCAGGGGGCCGCTAGCAGCTGCACGTGAGGGCGCTACTTCGAGAGTAGAACCGCCCGTGCTGAAATCTCCACATCGTTGTTTATCGACCCGGAAGCCAGAGCGCCTCGCACAATCAGTCCAGCGCTCGTGCGGCATCAGCAATCAGTGGACACTATTGATAGGAATCGCATGGGTGGTGACGAGTGAGCACAAACAGTATTGTTGCGGTGTGTCGTTGCGGCTGAAGAGTTTCGAAACGTGCAATGGATGCTGATCAGCCAGCAGATTCTGCGACACTGACACACGCAGGATCCTCAGTCGCGCTCCATCAGGCGAAAGATCTTCAAAGAGGCCCCCATGTCTTGCTCTGTTTGTGGAGGCCCTGCGGTTCAACGGGCCAGGAAGATAAGGCTGCCCCTGAGCACTCTATCCGCTGTCGTCTGTTTCGGGCAATGCGAGGAAATGCGCCATTGATCCTAACTGGCATTACCGCCCAGTAGGTGTGCAGCCTCGCCGTGCTACAAGTCGTTCCTCTTTTTGGCGTCCACGATACGCAAATCAAGTAAGACCCACCATGCTTACTCGCAGCTGTTGCGCCTTCGTCTATGATCACAGAGCCTCGACTCGGCGTGCAGCGCCGCACCTCGGACGGCCGTTCATTTCTGCAACACGAGAAACGTAAACAACCATTCACAACCAACCTTCCGATCCTAGTCTAGCACCAGGTACGCACAGCCTATGAATGGCCCAGCGGCCGGCAGGATCGCTTGGTTCCTGCATTAGCTCTGACATTCATCTGGCCACTCGCAGCGCCTAGACGGTCACTCCCCCTGCTGTCAGCGCGGTCGCCCCCTTTCACTGGCCGGCCCGCGCTACCACGCTCGTAATCTCCCAGCGTACATAAACCTCAGCATGCTCCCAGCAACTTTTCTTCTCCACTTCACAGCCAATCTTCAGCTTCAAGTCCAGCATTGACTTCGGTCGTCCATTCACTTACAAACTAATCACTATCATTAATAATACCCACCCGCAAACCACCTCAACCACACCAACTTACCCAAGTTAAATATCCTAATCAGCCAAAATGCGTTACACCATTGCTGCTTTCGCGCTCGCCGCTACCGCTGCCGCTGTCCCTCAGTACGGATATGGTGTCCAGGAGAGCAGCTCTGCTCCCGCCTACACTCCTGCTCCCTCATCCACCCCGGCGGTTGAGTACCCTGCCTACCCCGTCAGCACTCCCGCCGCAGTGAGCTCCGCTCCTCCTTCGTACGTCACCTCGAAGGTTTCTTCTCACCCAGCCCCGGCCCCGTCTGTCTCCTCGGTTCCTTCTTACCCCGAGGTCCCTTCGGTCCCTTCGGTCCCTGCGGTCCCTTCGGTCACCTCTGAGTTGCCCCAGAAGCCTGTCACGACTTCTTGCGAAAGCTCAACCACCATCACGGTGACCGTCCCCTACTACAGCGCTTCGGTCCCCGCCGGCAAGCCCTCCATGCCTGCTAAGCCCTCTGTCCCTGCCGGCGAGGTCCCCACCTACAGCGCCTCCGTTCCCGCTGGCAAGCCTTCCATGCCCGTCGGCCCCAAGCCCTCTGCTCCCGGTGCCTCCCACGTCACTGGCCCCGCACCTTACCCAACTGGCCCTGCGCCCGTTCCTTCCGGCACCGGTGCTAAGCCCTCGGTCCCTGCACCTGCCCCCACCGGTGTTAAGCCCTCAGTCCCTGCTGCTGGTACCGGGTACCCCACCTCCACTGGGTAAGTTTGCCCTCCTTCACGTGATCAAAAAATCCGCTTACATATCTAGTTCCTACACCAAGCCCTCCACCCCTGCTGAGTTCACCGGCGCTGCCTCTGCTCTCAACGCTGCTGGCTTCGTCGCTGGTGTTGGTGCTTTCGCCGCCTTCTTCTTGTAAATGTCATCTTCTAACTGAGCTTGCTTTGGTAGGCTATGACTTTACATGATGTGCATATTCTTCTAGTAGATACCCTTGGTTTCCGGAAAGGGTAGTTGTAATTAGTCGGGACGGTGTTGGCTGAATTGAGAACTGAAATTACGATATTCCTTTTGACATTGTGACCTATGTCCTGATATCGACAGCTCTCACACGACGGATGCACATGACCTCCCTTGTTCGGCACACTAGGCACGTCTTTGGCAATGCCAGGTGCCGTGCCATGCACGCATTCGCTGGCACGACGATCCACTCGAGTTGAACCTGCTGAGACAAGTTCTGACCGCTATGCTGCCAGCTGAATATCACACAAACCAGCGACGGTCACTACATCTCGGTTCAGCTCAACACCACGCCACATATCTAACGCCCTTGCATTCGCCACGGTACAAACGACGTCTAAACAACCTTAAGTTGCCCGATCGCCGCTATCCGCTCATGCATTGCGTGTCGGTACATATCCGCCACAAAGAAATGAGGTGTGCAACCGACACGCGTCCAGTGACCCTTGCCTCCGCGCAGGGCTGGCTACCCCACATGTTGTATTTCGATTTCACTGCCTCACGCCTCATCCCAGACCATGAAGACACTCTACTAGTCACAAGCAGTGCGGATTGAATCTAAGTCAAAAGCACAATGCTAGCGCCGAAAACCGCCTGTACAACAGATAACGCCTGCAAGCCTTCCCAACAGCATCATGCAAGGTTATGGCACAAGCGATATCGCGCATGCTGTGCCAACGTCGAAGTAAGCTTTGTGCATTGTCTCAGTGACACATAGTCAGCATATGGGCGGAAATGCGGTCCCGAAACAATGACTTCTTGCGGATCAGGAATCGACGCAAGGGATTTCGAGGCTGACCACGAACTTCCGAAGCAACCACAAAGTCGTTGTGCGCTACTGGCCCCTCGCATGGCCGGCACGGCTAATCGCACATGTTGGCGAGACGGACCTAGATGCAAGGGCACCGGTAGGGCGCGGAATATTGTGGCTGCGAACAAACTTTGGGCGCAAAAGTAAGAAGAACGGCGAGTTTCACGCAGCCGCCAATTGCCGCCCAGGAAAGCCACACAAAAGAATGCAGAGCTTGTTGCGCCCAGAATAACCTCATCAGTCAGTACGCAGCTTCTGAACGACTTTACGCGCGATGTTAGCTGTGTGACAGCTGCCGAAATGTCTCGTGCTGGTCGGCTGGCATCCGACACGGCATCGAAGTAGCACGACAGTATCAAGGCCTCGAGTCAGGACCGAACACAAGGTTTCCGACTTTCTTCGGTGTTTCGCCAACGAAGGCTTCGATAGTGTCCAGGTGAACAGTCAGCCAATAATGAGAAGAGCAGGTTAACATGCCGTTCCTGCAGCTGGCACCCCATAATTTGCAGTTCGGTACCTGCGTCAGTCGCCGCAAATTCCGATTACGACCCATAACAGCAATTGTACATGAACCAATACAGATTGACTACCATCCGAGTTTCGCCATCTTGGTTGTGATCTTCAGAACTATCTTTGGAAGATCCGTTCGAAGGTCTGACAACTAGGTGAATGTATGGTTGTGTAGGCATCAAAGCAAGTCGGAATTCTAGGTCCCATAGCATGGAAATAGAAGCCAGCTCAGTGTTAACAGATCGTGCGGGAATATGGTCAAGTCCTGTATGTATAAAGGTGAGGCTGGCGCAATCACTATTTGGTCGTTGCCCGGCGAGCTCCCTCAGTCTCTCTACTGCAATATTCCAACATGAAGACGTTCGCAGTATTGTCTGCCATTTTGGCAGCGGCATTCGCTGCACCAACCATACCACCGATCTCTGCATCACTGGAGATTCGCACCCTCGGACTACTCACAAAGCTGATAGCTCCTAAGTGTCCAGCAAACGCAGCTCAACCCGACGGGCACCTCCCCAAGGGCAGTATCTCCACATCGGCTCTCGTCCCCATCAGCTCCAAGAACCCCAATACCGCCTACCCAAACAGCGAATGGGCGAAAGTAACACCCGGTGATTTCTGCACAATTTTCAACCTCGTCCTCGAATCCGACGCCACGCAAGGCAAAATCTGCAACCTTGTATTTGACTTGCCGGGCTATCTGCAAGCACCTGGCGACTTCGTCTTTCTTGGCAGCGGAAAGTTCACTTTCACGGGGTACGACATCAATGCTGGTGCAGTGCCGGGCGAAACAACGTATGCGAAGCAACCACGTCCGGGACCGAGTCCACCAAATCCTCCACCGGTCATGAAGCCGGGCAATAGTTATATCGTTAACTCGGCGCCGTGCGGTATTCCACCGGGTATTGGGCCAGTGACTGTCAGCGGGAGCTTGTGTTCGAAGGACACGACCTTTTTGTTCAAGCAGAGTCAGAAGGCTTGTCCGGTCGGGTTCTATGTTGTGCTCACGGATGATAGTGGGGCGAGTGCTCCTCACTGAGGGAGCGTGTGGAAGTGTTGAGTTCTGTACATCTTTCTTTGACGATTCCAATGTAATTTTTATAATGTCACTTCTTCTCAGAACTTCAGGCCCGCTAAATCATCCAGTCCAAGGACATCGTCCAGACAGCGTAGCGTCCAAAAGTGCCTTACATTTTTAGATGTTATTGACATATTCGCCGAACTCATCTTGTGCAGCCCAGATAACCTTTATGTCAGCCTGGCACCTCAGTTCATACGGTACACTGTGAACTGCACCTCACGTGACTGTGTTAGTCACCTGCTTACTTATCTAGTTGTGTATATAATTGCTCGCTGTAGCTCCCTCAATACAACAACCTTCTGCCTTATTTGTATCTGCCCTGTGCTCCTACATCTGACAGTTATAAGCCCAGTATCCCCACACTACGCTGCGATACTTAAATAAGATTGTTCACCCTTTTTTTAATTGATTGCTATACACGCTGTACACGAAGTACACGTCGTCCCTACAATCCTCCTATTGTTGCATGCCTGCTGTCGTCGCAACCTTTTGAGATTATATCTTGTCTACTAAGGCCATCTCCACGCCTCTAGTACTTTT